ATCGAAAAACTTGTATCTGAACAATCTGTGGTATGGAGGCAATAAATAGGTTATAGCCACCGGATCTTTGTTCATTTTACTGTAAACTTTCTATTGATAATGAGTGACAATAGTGCGAAATTAATGTTTCTAGCTGCATAAATGGATAATTTATAACGAAAATTCTCATATCTGAACAATCAGTTGTATGGGAGATATATGTTATAGTCACCCGATCTTTGTAATTTTCACTGTAAGTGTTCTGTTAGTAATGAGTGAGAACGGTGCGAAATTTCATGTTCCTAGCTGCATAAATGGAGGAGCTATGATAAAAGGCCTCATATCTGAACAATCAGTTGTATGGGGGCTACAGGTTATAGAGATCCGATCTTTTTTATTTTCACTGTGAGTATTCTGTTAATAATGAGTGAAAACCGTGCGAAATTTCATTTTCCTAGCTACGTAAATGGGTGAGTTATAACGAAAAATCGTATATCTGAACAATTAGTTGTATGGAAGCTATAGGTTATAGTGACCCGATCTTTGTAATTTTCACTGTAAGTATTCTGTTGATAATGGGTGCAAGTACTACAATATTTCATGTTCCTAGCTGCATAAATGAAGGAGTTATAACGAAAAGTCTCATATCTGAACAATCAGATGTATGGGAGCTATATGTTATAGTGGTCCGATTCTTCCGGTTCCAACAAATGATTAATACAATATAAAAATACACCCACTTACCAAATTTCATCAGGATATCTCGAAAACTGAGAGACTAGATTGCATACAAACAGACGGACAGACAGACAGACAGACAGACGGACATCGCTAAATCGACTCAGTTCGACGTTCTGATCATATAAGTATACATTGTAATGGGTCTATCTCTTTTTATTCTGGTACTTACAAACATCGGACCAAAGTTATAATACCATTTCATGCTCATGAAAGGTATACTAAATTAATATGTCTCTAACAACGATGGTCGTCCCTCGGCAGGTAGTGACAAACCCCCGATTGTAAACCTGCCATGAAAAAGGTTCTCATAAGATCCATTTGCCGTTCGGAGACTCCATATAACTATAGGTTCATTTATTTGTGTAACAAAATCAAGACGAACTTTTGATAGAAGTTAGGTACTACCTACAAAAAAAAAATAATAGTTAATTTTCTGAGAAAGTTACTTTTCCTTTTTGCTTAGTGAAGCCGCGTAGCATTAGCATTAGCTTCGAATTTTATCATTTTTCTGATTTACTTATAGTCTCTTTAGGGGTATTTTTAAAATGCAGTTGGTTTTTTAAGTATAAATGTAATTTTTAATTAATCATTTTTGGATTTTCATGATTGTAAAAAGATGTATTTTGTATCACATATCTAGATATTTAAAAAAAAAAAAAATACATAATTATTAACCAAAATATGTACAGTCGAAAATGAAAAAGAAAGTAAAGTACATTTTCAACTACTTGTCAAGAGTTCACATGATAAAGTATCCTAACGAGATTTCCAATCCGACAGGTAAAAAACTTTTCCGTCAAATCTTTAATTTTACTGTAACCTTCACTTTTATGTCTAAACATGCAATTTGTATTGAAAGTGTCGAAATCTCTTTGGCCTTACTATCCATTTTTGTTTCACCACAAAAGGAGTAGTACTATAATGCCAGAAAATGACTATTCCTTTTCTTTAATTTTTGCACAATTCGTTCCACTCCAATTTTGCCAAATTAAAGCAAAGCCTAACTGCTTCAACTATTGTCAATTTGCATGATTGCTGAGCCCTCCTGTTGTGCTTCTTTGCAGTATTCTTTTGCGCAGTGTGAGAGTTCAACCCTAGGAAAATTTCGCCAATTTTGCAATTAAAGGAAACGTACTGTTTTCACTTTTACTAAGTTTCTATTGTACGTTTGGAGATTGAGATAGGTAGATATTTTTGTTGTTGTACTCTTGAGATGTAAGACAAGTTGATCTTTCAAAATCAAACTACACATATGTATGTGTGTAGAATATATGTATGTATATGTATGTATGTAAATGAACATACATACATACATATACTTACTAACTGACAACATAATTAGAGGAGAAGCTCGGCAAAATTAATAAATATGTTTACAGAAAAAGGTTTTCCTAAAAGCAGGCGAATGTACCAAAGGAATCAATGCATGTTTTATACCAGGGCTGGGAAAGGCCGAGGCTCAAAAGAGCCACAAAATGCTAAATGCTACAAACAGCCACAAAAAAAAACAACAAAAGCAAAAATTTTATTTTTATTTTATACGTATACGTATGCTATGGAGATCCGTCGTAATGCGGATTTTTCCCAATAAACATTTTTGTTAATTCTCAATCTGAGATGCATTTTAGAATCAGTCATTTTCTCAAATCTTAAACGTTACTTGTCAAATGCATCTAAAATAACCATTAACTTCTCAAACCAATACTTCTCAAACTAAAACGTACATTTATAATAAGGAAATTTCCTTTATTTTCAAATGGAGATATATTGATTTCTAAACATTTTCTCAAACGTGAGAGGAGCGGAACGAAATGAAATCCAGTTACTCATTGAAACATTTGTATAGCGTTGCCAATGATGCATGCAAAAGAATCACACAGGTTTAACAGAAAAATATTTTTTTGGTGGGTTTATTGCATTTTCAATAGAGCATAAGCACTTTTTCATTTTAAGCAGGCAAATTGTTGGTCACTATCGAGGCAGCAGAGTAGTTTCCACTTTCTCTATCTATCTAAGTTCTCTGGCGGCTGTTAGGAAATGCGAAAAAATATCGAATTGGGTAAAAATTATGAATCATGTTGAGCACCCTGCACCCTATCATAAATTCGAAATAGTAAAGACATGCACCTTTTTGTTGCGAATTATGACTTTTCCCCTACTGATCAATTGAGGTAATTTTAATCATCTGGCAACTCCATAACAAACAGCCGGTTCGCAAACTAGCATACATATGTATGTACATCAGACAACTTATAAGTTGTTATAAATTCTCTATCATTACATATAATTCAATTACCGCGCAGTTACAACCAGGGTTGTGCCTCTAAAATATTAACATTTACAACAATTCTTTACTTGTAAATAATGTAAATATTTACAGGGTGATATTTTTGGTGTAAATAATGTACATTTGGTGTTTCAGACAGAGTTGTGCATTTAAAATATTTACATTATTTACAATAATTCTTTACTTGTAAATTATTGTGAACAATGTAATTTACAATTTACAATTTTTTACAATAATTCACAATGTAAGTGTAAAAAATGTGAAAATTTGTGTAAGTGCACAACCCTGGTTACAATCTATGTACCACATTTTTAGAAAAGCAATCGCCCTTTCTTTAATCCTTTGAGTACAAAAAACCAGCCGCTGAAGCTAAAAATCTGACCGTTTGTTTACACGCTAATTTTTGAAATACAATAAAAAAACGTTATAAAATTCTTAGTTTTACCGTTATTCATCGTCCATTATATTGGACGTTGGTACACTAGGATTGTAAACTGGGAAGTGATATCAATAATTTTCCTTTTTTTCTTTTCCGAAATATATTATAAAACTGAGAATAACGTTTAAAAAATTTTTCGGATCTCAATTTCACCGAAAATTAGTTAATTTTTTTTCCTATATATTACACTGTTCACTATGGACTTTTGTGACACCTTTCACTTTAGTGAAAAAACGCAGTCAACTGCATCCCAAAAATACAATCATGCAGGTTCTGCAATTCACTCCCGAGTAAATTTCAATCCCTGCCAATTTGAGTTTTGAGAGAATTTTACTGAATATCACTGACAAGTGAATTGCAGATCTTCAATATGCCAGGATAGGCATCATCGATCATTTACTAAAAGACTTCGACAACTACAAGAAAACGGTTTTCATCGATCATTTACTAAAAGACTTCGACAACTACAAGAAAACGGTTTTATCAGCTTTTAAAAACTTCGTATTAAACCATCTATTTTCTGAATTTTTCCAGTAAATTGAAAAAAAAAATCACTTTTTACCACATAAGTAAAAAAAACTGGAACAACACAGATCAGTAGCTCGTTTATGTAACTATTCTCTACCGATTATTTCCATACTGGTAGAGAATGTACGTCATTCTCTACTACTCATTGGTAGAGAATTGTTACAGAAACGAGCTAATGATTCAAGGTGTTTTTAACAAGGTTGTGTTGGCCGTATATAAGTAAAAAATTACACTAACAAATTATACGCAGATATCCATACTGTCATTGGTATGAGTTACAACAAACACAACATTCTCACGTAATGCCCTCCACGGCGAAAAACTCAGCTGTCGCCCCAACACCACCGTGTTAAATGCACCTTGTACTGATCTTTCACATATAATGCTATTAAACTACAAGGCGAATTCTAATGAGATGGTGTTACTAGAACATATGATTTGATTTACCTTGATACACAAATGTCATAATTTTACAACGCTAAAGTGAGTAAATTTGAAATTGAAAGTGTTTGTATTTTTTCTTCATATTCTTCCTTGAGAGAAGAGTAAAAGAACATACACATGTTCTTTGGAAGAATAGCTGAAATTGGACTCTTTGTACCAAAATCAAAAACAAAATGCATTAATTTTTTGTTTTTGTGCTATCGACACCACCTAATATGAATTCGCCTTGGCAGACTACTAATTCACCTATGTAATTGCTGCATGCACACCAAAATTGAAAACACTACTCAAAGCGAATTCATACAAGGTGGTTCCGGTAGAGCAAAAACAAAATTTACAACAACAAATTATACGCACAATGACAGCGAGAAACACAACAAATGTACAACAAACAATCATTTAGACATTTAGAAGAACTGCTGCCAAAATCTCCCTGTTATGGTAACACCACCTTGTATGAATTCGCCTTGACACTACTCAATTCTACTCAACTACTTTACCCACAATATTTACTTGAATGAGTAAGAAAAATTCCACTTAATACCTTCATGGAATTTTTGAGGCACTTTCCTTGACACTTACCAAATTGACTGCGCATCCAGGGATACAAGGGCGAAGGCATCCCTGATGACTGCGAATTTGGATTTTGCGATGGTGGTGTATGCTGTCCGGGATGACCTTGATGCATCTGTGGTGGTCCTTGCGCTGGGTGCATCATTGTTTGTGGTGGACCGCCAACAGGCGGAACGCCTGTTTGTTGTTGGCCGTACAGACTCATTTGATGATGATTCTGGTGAACCTTTAGAATAAAGTTTTAAAGCATTACTTATGACCATAGTTTGTGTAAATACCTGTGGTTAAAATCAATAATCGCTTATGTATACCACCTTATTCTCCTAAAAAGCCTACATACATACATATTTATGTAGGTGAAACTCCCTAACTTCATAACGCACTTTCGCAAAAAGTTGTTCATGTAAAACATAATAGCTTAAGGGCCGGTTGTTCAATGCTGATTAGCACAAATCGTAGATGGAAGGTCCGGTTAAATACAACGACTGCTTTATCGATCACATGTTATATGCATGATGTCGAAAACGTCGATAATGATGTTTAACCGGGAAGTAGTGAAAACCAGACATTGAACAACGGCCCTAAATCGTCATTTCCTCCACCCTATTATATTCATGGTGTCGAAGATGACGATAACGATGTTTAACCTGCAATTAGTGGTGACCAGATATTGAGAACCCGACCCTTAGGGCTGTATTCTCGACTACCTGCTGAAAATTGACGCTCGGTTTGGTTTATCGACTTTTTATCGATTGCCTATTATAAGGATGGAGCGACAAATATGTCAAAGCACCGGTGATCTTTAATAGGTAGTCTAGAAAACACCCCTTAGAATGATGTTTTGATAACCATTATTTTCTTAAAAATGGCGGTAGTTGATATTGGAGCTTAATTTGCTTGAATAAAGTCGAAGTGAAAACAGGCGATTATAGTAGATTGAGAATATGCAAATGCGATCAGTGGCATATTCAGTTATCTTTACAAAAACACAAGTAAAACAAACGTCTGACTGGACATACATACGTTATTTCTTCTATTATTTATTTAATGTTTTGCAATAAGCACTGACTTTGATTTTTTAAACGACTTCAGAAAAGGAGAAGGTTATCAATTCGTCAAAATTATTTTTTTATGTATGTTGCCGCATGTGGACCACGTGAACCGATTTCGATAAGGGGCTCTCATACTAATTTGGATCTAAATCCGATTATTGGATCATGAAGAAATTAACGGTACTTCTAATTTTTTATGTATTTAATGATTTCTAGATTTTAAAAAATATTTCACTGCATCCCCAATGCACTCTTTTTTTAAAGAATGTGTTTCAAATATATTATAGAGGTTTCCTCATAACTATGATTTTCTACTTAAGCGACTATTGCTCATGATCACAGACACATATATGAACAAGTAAAACATGACTCATTTCTATACTAGTCACGAACACAACAATTGGAAAACAACTTAAGTTTAATGGTAACCCATTGAATTAAACAAACCAAAAACCTTTATACGAATATTATGTATACAATACTTTGCTACAACATTGACTGAGAATCACTGATAGCCCTTCTTACCTCATTTACATCTGGAACTCCAACATCATTGTAACCCAACTGCGATAGTGAAAAACATAGAAAATTGATTTGCTTTAAGTTGAATAGAAAAACATTGTTTTGCAGGCATGCAATGGTATTCCAAAATAATATTATTAATCGGAAGCTACAATTCATTTCAGCGTCTTAACTTTTTGCTACACAGAAATTGACAAATATCTCTCATACCAACGAAATTCAAATAATTACCTTGTTTATATCTACTCACGAACCGCATTAACAAAAAAAAACGATTTGACTCAACATATGTATAGGTAGGTACCTCTGTCTTTGTAGCGCACTTGATGAAGCCGTATTCAAAAGTACACAAAATCTGCTATTTTTATACGGCATTTCTTTAATAATTCATTTGCGCGGTTGATGCGTTTATACTTGTTTTTTTTTTTAACTAATTTGAGAAATAAAAAACCGGTTTGAAAACAAATTAAAGTTAATACACTTTTCAATTTCAACGAGTTTTGAAATTTAGTTTATGAATCCGTTTTGAATAACAGCGAACTAAGTCAAAGCGCTTTATGTGTCGTATAAACAAGGTATATGATTGTTTTGTGTGTTTTAAAATTTTTATGTTTCTGTCAAACAGTGTAATCTTTGGCAAATAAATGATAATACCTTCACGTTATTAATCCATCACATTTAAAGAATTGACTACAGTGGGAAAAAAAACTTGCCTTTATGAGTTCAGCGCCAAACGCAACTAAACTGATTAGTCGACATCGATTTCAGTTTTTCATTGGAAATGTACCATTGGTAGAAGGGGGAGGTTGAGCAAACGCTGTGAAATTTTCTATGTATTATGTATTTTTACATTTTCCTCTCTAACCCCAACATTTTTTTTCCACCTGCCTCGAAACACTGTGCGACGCGTCGTGCCATGAAGACGTGAAAATAAACATATATATTACATACGCGCCTAGCAGAATAAGTCATATTATACTTACAATATCTACTTATAATAACACAGCCAGACAAAGTTTCAGAACCAAAAACCTGTTGATACTTCTCCGAAGGTTTTCGGTGCCCTAAATTCGACTCTCTACTCAAAATTTCTCTGTTGGCTCCGATTTAAAAGATATATAAACCTAAAAGTGCAAAAATAGCTGCTTTCCCTATATTTGAAGTTATGTAGCAAAAATTGTTTCTTCCCAAGCGCTTTGACGGCACCTTAAAGTATACCCCTTACTTTGGCGTTGAGTTTGTTAAAATATCTTTCATTCTCGTTGAGGAATCATATTTTCACCTTTTCAATTTTGTACATTTATATACTTTTTAGCCATAACAAATACGTATACATAACTGAAAAGTTAAGAATACGATTTTTCGACCAGAATAAAAGATATTTTAAGAAACTCAACGGCATTTTGAAGTATAAGGGTTATTCTGGTTTTGGGATTCAGCCAATTCTGTCGGCCTGTGTAGTCCAATTGAGTAAAATATATTTGTGATTTCAGGTTTTTTATTTCAAAACTGCAATAAAGAAGGACGTACATATTCGTACGCATGCATTTGACAATTTAGAGCACGGTTACCCACGAACGTCCTACGTAGCGTAGCGTAGAAGGATATCAAGTTTGCTGTTGATAAAAAGAGAGAGAAGCAACTTCAACGTCACCGTCATGCGGTGGTGAGTGTTTGTTAACACGCAGATCCCATGAGATAGATCGTGACAGCTGACACGTTCTCCGTTTTTACGTCCGTGGGTAACTGCGCTTTTATACATAGGAGTAAAAATATGAAATGTGTATATATACGAGAACAAGTTTCTTACGTTTCCATGGGTTGGTATGTAAGTGCTTCCATAAGAATTTGTACGTCATTCTCTATATTCAATTTATTACATGTACATAAGTATGTATGTACATATGACAAACACACGCATACGCATGCGCATGCTAAATATGTCTGCCCTAACTATTCGTTTCTACATAAAAATAATAATTGACCGTACGAAAGTAAAGTTATAAATGAAGCATTAGATAAAGAGCCGTTCGTTATATGGGCTAAACATTGTACCTCTTTCCGCAACTACATGCAACTTATGTACATACATACGTCTGCGCCTACTCACCTGTGCCTGTGGGTGTCCCATGTGATGTGGCAGTGTCATCTGCGCGTTCATATGATGCGCACCTATTTGATCCACCAGGGGCGGTGAGCCGCCCTCGTGCACCATGCCCAGTCCGCCCACTGCTGCTTGCAACTTACAGCTGGCATACACGACGGGCTGTTGTTGTTGGGCTGGGTGTGTCACCTGTTGCGTCACTTGCGATTGCTGTTGATGCTGAGGCGCCGCCTGTGGCTGTTGCGTCACCTGCTGCTGCGCCACTTGTTGCTGTGGTTGCTGTTGCTGAAGCAGCGGGCTGCCATTCACTTGGGGCTGTTGAGGCATGCCCACCTGACTGGAGGGACTTTCGGGCCGAGAGTATCCTTGGTGTTCCATACTCTGACCATTGTAGTAGGGCATGCGATCGTAGGGCGGGAAACGCGGGTAGGGCATATTGCCCTGGTTATTTGGATGCTGACTGTAGTGATGCATTTGTTGTGCATCGAGATCGGTAACACCATTACCCGGATAGTGGCCATGGTGCATTTCGGGCCCCATATAGGAGTTGGAAAAGTATGACGCCATACTTTCGCAATTATTTGTACTCATCGTCATATTGAAGGAATCTATCGTGTCTGTGGTAAACGTGGTGGCGGTGTTTGTGGTAACTTAGGGGTTGCGGGTTGCCGAATGCGAGAGTTGTTTGCAGGCTTACTTGCAATTGAAGAGTTACTTTTCGTAATCGCCTTGATGGGGTGGTTTTTGGAAAGGATGTGCGAGTTTAGCCGCACTTTTATGGGGTTCCTGTTGGCTATACAGATGCTTGGAGCTACTTAGTTTCAGCTATACAATTTCTTACTCTTTTACGATTTTCTAAGCACAACAATGAACTAATACACCGTCGTAGATCCTAACCTGTTTGTAAAATAAGGTGATTATTAAAAATGTTTATTGAAAAGCAGTTAAATTTCAAAAGACTCACTTAAATCTGAACACTTATGTAAGTACAATATACAATTTTCCCTTAGCTTTAGGTATTTGAGGTATAAAAATGATTTGCGATTATACTTTACGACTTGATCTTTATTTGTATTGAGTTTTCTTTATCGCCACCAATTGTTGTTCTTATAAAGTTGCGGTTTCTTTTTTGAAACGAGTAAACAAAAGCTCCAAAAATAAGTTGCAAATTTTATGATTGGGAATAAAAACTCCTTTGATGCTTCCACTTTAAGTTTGGCCTTATCTGCTACTGCTACTCATACTAATAAAAAATTTTGATTCGATTTGAAGTGAAACTCTGAAAAGAAAGTGAAAAAATAACATAATTGGTTAGATGGTTGAATAGTGAAATATTTACATATATACAATGTTTAAATGTATGTACGGTATTTGTAAGTATTTGTATGCGAATATCCCTGAGCTTCACACACTTCGAGATCAGTATTAATATTATGTTGCAGACATATTTCAAAATACGAAAAGAATCATTTTGTCCAAAACACAATGCCGTACCACATATGCTGATCTACTTGACCAGTGGCTGTTTCTATGCTCCAGCTACACGGAGAAAGATTGTTCTTAAAATTATACATGTATGTATATAATTATAAGAACAATCTTTCTATGTATATGTATACATACCTTCCTGTATACATACCTGGTATGTATACATACATATATTTTGCTATAATTTAAAATTATCAAAATAATAACTTCATTAAAAATTATATGTCCATTAATATAGTATGTATGTATGTACGTAAATATGTCCCGTAACATTCCCTGTTCCTCCAAAACACATTTCTTATTTCAGGCGGGAAATGCCTCGGCGTATTAAGTGTTAAATTCTTATTTGAGAGCTTGCATGATATTGTACATTTCGAAACTAGTTGATTTACTTGATATTATGCCTGTTCAACTAGTTTTCCAGGAGCAATAAATGGTAAGCCGTTTTTCAGGCGATTTCAAATTTATATGTAAACTGTTTCTGAAACTTACCAGAAACATAGGCGGAACAAGCTTAGGGTTAAAAGTAATTGGGGCCCACCATGCTATACTAATGTAAATTTCGCTCTTCATAAAGATTTAAATTTTACAAAAGTTTACCTGCGGGGGCAGGCAGGGTTTAACCCTTTTCAGTTAGCACTGTCAATTCGGCCCTTGATAAAATCGATTAATATCAATATAGGGTTTCAAAATTAGTAGTATGGCTGAGTTCTGTGAAATTTACTAGATTATCTTGATAAAAGTCAAAACATTAGGGCAATTCCTCTAAACGCGTAAATGCCTCGTAACAATGTAAACCTCATAAACTTACTTAATTTTGTATGAAAAACCGGTTTATTTACGAGGTATACGCAGTTACGAGGCATTTACGCGTTTAGATGAATACCCTGTTGTTTTTATAACCATCTACATAGCTGTCCTTTATATAATTTAGTGGAATAGAATGGAATTGGGGATGACTTTGTACTTAAGGTTCAGAGCGGGTATTTAAAGGATAGAGAAATACAAGTGAAGTGGGAATTCATCGCTCCTCTGCAAACTCTTTTGTGAAACCTAGCAGTTTGTCAAGAGAAAAATAATGTAGCTCCTCCATTCTCAATACAACCGACTGACCCAAAAATGTACCAAGTCTGGCAAAGGCCAGACAGTGACAGAGAAAATGTTCTGTACTCATCTTCCACACCAGTTGTACACAGTTGATTGTCGATGATGCGGCATCGTTTAATAGAAAATATATACACTGGGTCGCTATCAGAAATCGCATAATATGAGGGGCTAGTCTATAATGAGATACGAAAGAGCAATGCGATGCAATACGCAGTGGCGATTGCCTATCGCATCGGATTTCTCTTTCCTATTGCATTACAGAGTAATCCCCAAGATATAATAAAGTCAAATCTCTGCACCAAGCTTTTCAGGAAAATCAGCGCTTTTCATGCAATCTATTCACCTACAATTTTTATATCGGCGTGGCCATAACAGCGGAAAATCTACAGTTCTCAAAAGTTCATTCTCAAAAATCGAGCTGGGAAAGAAAGATACCACCCACGCAACCTTCTGGACAATAGCAATAGCCACGTTCAAACAGTTTATTAGGCATCACACCATTTTAGTAACCAACGAACGCTGGAACAACATTACTCCCTGTGAAACTTTCAGGATTACATAGTCTTTCCATAACAGGAAAATCACCTCGTTGCTCTCAATTTTAAACAGAAAATAAATGTTTTTCCCTATGAAGACTCTTACGAACCACTTCCTAATATGGAATCCGAACGGGCCTGTTTTAGCTTACATATGTGGATCTACTCTACTTAACAATCATGTAACACCGAAACGAAAAGGTTGCCAAACTGAAAAAAGGAACCAAAATTTGATATAAAAATACAAGATACAAATGACCAATTTTGTCAACAAATTACCAAAACGGCAACGCTGATCAGTATTGCACCTCGTTAAATCATAAGCCAATGCTTTGCCTTGAAAACCACAGTTTCCTGACATCCGCACAACTTCTAGCTCATTCCACTTTTCAACGGAGTTCAGCCTGAGCCTACATTTCTGGACTTCTTTTGAACTGGTGCGAGCAAGAACTTTAGAGCACCTTGCCTCTCACTGTAGACCGAATTATTTGATTATTTGCCTAGAATCCCGGGATTTTCGGGATTTTTTATTTACTCTGGTGGCAATAATAGAAACGCTTTATGTTGACCAGTTTTGGCTATATTTCTTTTGTTTATACATTTTTTTATAAATGTTAGCTCAATATATATATAATACCTTGCGGCAGGCAATTTTGCACAAAAAAAAAAATCAACATATTCGCCAAACCAAGGGCCAAATATAATAAAATTGCGTTCTTCATTTTTCTCTCTAATGTCAGGATTTTTTAAAAGAACTTTCAAATTTGAAAGATATGAGTAATTCAAAAAATGTTTTACAAATTTCAGTGCAATATACTTATAAAACAAGTATGGGTATCAAATGCAAGAGAAGATTCCGTAGAGTTAAAACATATTAAATTTTTGGTGCGTAAGGGACGGGTAGGTATTGAAAATACCCTTTTATAATTTTATCCTTGAATATCCTTGAAATTTTTCAATTCTTATTTTTGAAAAAAAATATATTTTAAGGACTAACTTTCTTAGCTTAAAAAATAAAACATATTAAAGGGACATTTTCAGTTCCTATTCGTCCTTGTGAACCCAAAAAAATTATTTCATTTGGTACTCATACTTTTGCTTTATATTGCACTGAATTTTTATAACCGAGCGCACTTGTGCACAAGGGTATTATAACTTTGATCACATAACGGTTGTTTGTAGCAGGCAAAACGAATCGCGATAGATATAGACAAATGTATACATAAATGATCAGAATTATAAGAGAAATCGATTAAGCGGTGACTGTCTGTCCGTCCGTCCGTCTGTGTACACGATAATTCGAGTAAAAATTGAGATATTTTAACGAAACTTGGTACGTGCACTTCTTTCGGGTGTAGGACGGATGGTATTGAAAATGGGCAAAATAGGGATGGGTAAATTCGATATTCAAAGCTTCGATATCCAAATTTTAATCGAATTTTAGCTCCAAAATGGCGAATTTTTGAAATCGAACCTTGTGTTGCTAAAATTCGGATAAAATCGAACTTTTCCAAAATCGAATTTCTTCTTTTTTGCAAAAAATCAACTCTTCAACTTTCTGCTTTCTGACTAAATTTGCATTCACTGTGTGTGGCACTCCATTTGTCTAAGGATTCAAGTAAAAAAATACATGTTTTTCGATCTGATGCATAAAAACAAAAAATCTGTGCAAAGAAGGAACTGTTATTCCATACTCAATTTTAAAATTATTTTTATAAAAATTAGTTTCTTAGTTGATTTTTTATTTTAAATTTTTAGAGGCTTTCACGTTGGTAGCATGAAGCCTTTGCCTGAGAAGACCCCTAGTAAAATTTTCCGGAGAATAATTTTTTAGAATACATCAATCCAGTAACGATCTGCCAAATGTGCTTTTTGCGAGATTTCTTGAAGTAAGTGTCAAAAATTACTGTTTTAGGCGGGAGCTAATGGGTTAAAATGTTCGATGAAAATATTTCCCAAGAAACTTTAATATATATGTCTCAACCTTTAATTTCGCTCTGACATTTATTTTAACTATTTTTTAGACTTTTTTGAAAACTACTTAGGCCGAGATATGAAAACTGTAGTAGGCCATAAAATAAAAATGCGAGGTAACTTTTGCAAATCCATCGAGCGTTTTACTAGTTAATGGGTATACATTCAGAAAATGTTAACAAAGTCGGGGCTGGTTTCGGCTGTGGCACAGTGTAATTTGAGTTTAACTTTTTAAACAGGTGGCCACTCTCTTCAAGCACATCAAAAATATTTAAATTGTTGCATAGTATTTTAAGTACATCACTTCTTTAACTAAATTCGAGTTTTCAAACAGGTGGACACTCTCCCAAATGTAATTAAAAAATAAAGTTTATTCAAAACTATTTCGATTGATACCCATATTGGAGTAACCTATTTAACTTATTAAATAATTTGATTTAGATTTTCCTACATATGGCACAAAACGAAAACCATGTTACACATCTAATATTAACAATAATAATAATCCCAACGGTTTTTACCCAGGAATTACAGGGCAAGCCCTTTTATTTGACACCTACCCCCTTTTTGAAAATCCAACGAACGATACAGATTTTATGACTTGGTGTTAAATATTTAACGCAAACATCTGCGGAAGCGATTATTTGAATTTGATTTTCTACCCTATGGTAACCCATTTCAAATACGAAATCTTCGATAAATCAGTTATTATTAAAGCTAATTTATTCAAAATTGATGCTTGCAACAATTCTTTATTAAGAAATGCGTTTATGATAAAATTTTGGAAAATGGGCGTGGCACCGCCCACTTATGATCACATATATGTATCTCCGTAACCGTTGTACCAATTTGTGCCAAACTCGGTATGGTTATTGTGCTGGCCACACAGAAGCAAAACGTTAAAAATTATTGAAATCGGACTAAAATTACGGCCGCTTTTCATATAACGGTAAATTCCAGAAATGTTGAAACTTCAATATTTCGAAATTTAAGGACATTAATTTACTCAAAACTGCTACACCCCGGCTTACCATGTAGCTTTCGGAAAGGTGAAAACCATATATTTAATACTTGCGGCGGGTATTGAATGTTTCGGCTCCGAACTTAGACTTTATTACTTGTTTTAAATAAATTTTGGAATTAACCATAACTTTGAAATTATAGCGAGCCCTGA